TAATTTTATATTTATTGAAAATTCAAGAAAAGATGCATAATCTTGAATTTTTGATCAAAAAATCCAAAATTAAGTATCTTCTCTTGAATTTTGAAAAATCATAGTAGTTTAAAAAATGAGATAGCTTATTTTTGAGTATAATTCTTCCAAAATGCAGATAATTTGCTAAAAATAAAATATAACATACATAAAATTGATATAATTTTGACAAAATGCTAAATTATAACCTATTATTAAAATTATCATTAATTTGCTAAAACTAAAAATCAGACTTTAGGCCAAATTTTTGACTTTTTGCTAAAGTGCAAGTATGACCTATATGAGAGATATCCGGGGTTCTGTCGTAAAGATCTCAATCCAGTTGATAAGTCTATCATTTGACACCATGATTATGCTTGTTGAAAATCAGGTGTCAACAGACCAAAAAAGGTAGAGAATATTGATAAACATTGTGATGGTGCTTCCGGTAAAACCGATTGTTCATGGCTAGTTTGCTTCTATTTTGGTAAACGTGCGAAGGCTATAAATATTACTAGCATAGTAGATAAACACAATCATATTTGTGATTTGAACACTATAGAATTAGCTCCAAAACATTTACAATTTCCACAAACAATTTTAGACAGAATTAAGAACTATACTATTGTTGGTTGGCTTAGTGCTGGCCAACAATTTGATCTTCTTGTAAAAGAATTTCCCCAATATCAAATAAAAAAAAAGAACCTATATAATGCTATCGGTAAATTTTGAGGTGTAAGGATTCATGATGAATTTGATACTGCTACGATATTGCAACATCTTTTTAATTTGAAAAAGCAAGATCAAGAATATGTAGTTATTCCATATATAGAGGATAAATCTAATGAATTAACGGGTTTGTTCTGGATGAGTAGTCAATAGAGAAATGAACTCTGGCCCAAGTTTCACGATGTTATCATTTATGACAATACAGCTAAGATGAACCGGTATGAAATAGCTCTTAGCCTATTTATTGAAGTTGATAATAACTTCAACTCAAGAATCCTCGCCCAAGCCTTGATAAAGTATGAAACGCAAGCTGATTACGATTAGATCTTGCAATGTACATTGGAAGCAACCAATAACTTGTTCCCTGTGGTTTTGTTTAGCAACAGAGATCCAGTGATGATCGCGGCCATTCAGGTTGTATACCCACAAACACGCCATTTTTTGTACATCTATCATATTGGTGAAAATGTTAAAAAGAAAGCCAAATCGAAACTTCATAGTGATGTGGCTAAAAATTTTGTTAAAGATTTTTACCATATAAGAAATAGTTGCACCCAAGAACTTTTTGAATTAAAATACCAGCACATGCTTACAAAGTATGAACCCTGTCACTCCTATCTTAAAAAAAAATTTTACCCAAGCTGTAAAGCTTGGGCAAGATATTCTATTTTAAAAGTGTTTACAGCAGGCGCTAAGTCAACACAATGGGTAGAATTAATAAATGGTGTTCTTAAAAAACATGTTAATCGAGGTACCTTGTTGAAGGAACTAGTAAAAGCAATCGAACAAGAATTGGAAAAAGAAGCTAGTTATAATCGTATCAGAGATTATTACAGATTCAATCTGTCATCTGGCTTGCCGTCTACTTACAATACCATTTTCAAAGCTATTGATTTGGTATTGGCTGAGTATTTAACACCCATTCCGCTTTCATTTCAACAAGCCTAGATGAACCAGTCATTTTATACCACAATTAAACAGGTAAGTATCGAATTTTTACTAATAAACACTGATACTAGATTTTATAGATAATTTTACTAATACTAAATTCTATGGATAATTTTACTAATTAATACTGACGCTAAATTCTATAGATAGGTTAAGGAGTCCAATATTGAAGCTAATCGTGCAATTGAACATCTTTATGATGTACCTCAAATTCAATTAAGCGAACTTTTATCAGGTATATCAAATGAGGAAATACAAGAAATTTGGGAGGTTTCTTATGTTGCAGCAACTTCGACATCCAAATCACATTATGTTATGATCCTTAAGGATTTGACGTTGCTTTGTACATGTATGCAAATAATAAATTTAGAAATGCCATGCCATCATCAATATCGAATTTTTATTCAATTACCTAATGTAATTTTTTATCTGGGGTTTATTCATACTCATTGGTTTAAATCAATTCTATCCGAAATAAAGCATGTTACAATATCTCAAAGAATCAAAACTTTTACATCTACACCATTATACCATATTAATCGAATTTGAACTGCTAATATATATACACCAACTATTAAAGAATGCATTGATAAAAAGGTTCAATTTGGTACTACAATGTCATTAGCCAAGACCAGTGTTCAAATTGCAGTATTAGAGGGTGTTGCAGCAGAATTAGTCGGGGTTTATAACAAAATATCGTCGCAATACTGGTTTGGGCATACAAGAGACTCGTAATATACAAAATGAAGATATGCAAACAAATGTCTCTACTAGTGAAATTGAATCTGATATCCGACAACCTCCAATTAACTCAGGTTCTCGTTTTAATACTATTGAAGTTTCTAACCCAGAATATCACAAACCAAGAGATCATCCCCCAAAATGAAGATAAAGAAATGCTAAGCAATATTCTAATCATGAACAAAGAATGTGCAGCTATTGTTTTGGTAAAGGTCATAATATTTGTGGATGTGCTCAGCATAAGGCTGATACAGTCAACAAATAAAATCATTGAATTAAACCAAAATAAATACTACACATGTTTCTGTGTAGCTTGCATGCTTCACTTGTGATTGTAAAATTTATTGTTCTAAATTAGTATGTATATAAATTCTGTCGCTCATACCATATTGATCTACTGTAATTTCATTATTCTGTATTGAGTTTAGGCCAGTTTTATTTTTCATATATTAACCTAAGTCTAACATATAGAAAAATAAAACTAGGCAGGTTCTGTCCCTTAAAGGATTTGCAGACAATTTTGCCGCAAATTTTTGATCAAAATCGTTCTTGACAACTTACATAAGTAATAATGCACCTCTTTTATAATTGACAAACTACTTACCAAGAGCTTTTAACTAACATCGCTTTAACTAATGTCGCTTTAACTAATATCGCTTTAACTAATATTGCTTTAACTAATGTCGCTTTAACTAATATTGCTTTAACTAATGTTGCTTTAACTAATATCACTTTAACTAATGCTGCTTTAACTAATATCGCTTTAACTAATGTCGCTTTAACTAACATCGCTTTAACTAACATCGCTTTAATTAATATCGCTTTAATTAATATCACTTTAACTAATGTCGCTTTAACTAATGTTGCTTTAACTAATGTCACTTTAACTAATATCACTTTAATTAACATCGCTTTAACTAACATCGCTTTAACTAACATTGCTTTAACTAACATTGCTTTAATTAACATTGCTTTAATTAATGTCGCTTTAACTAACATTGCTTTAACTAACATTGCTTTAATTAATGTCGCTTTAATTAATATCACTTTAACTAATGTCACTTTAACTAACATCGCTTTAACTAATGTCGCTTTAACTAATATCGCTTTAACTAATGTTGCTTTAACTAACATTACTTTAACTAATGTCGCTTTAACTAATGTCACTTTAACTAATATCACTTTAACTAATGTCGCTTTAACTAACATCACTTTAACTAATGTCGCTTTAACTAACATCGCTTTAACTAATGTCGCTTTAACTAATATCGCTTTAACTAACATCACTTAATTAATGTTGCTTTAATTAATATCGCTTTAACTAACATCACTTTAACTAATGTCACTTTAACTAATGTCACTTTAACTAACATCGCTTTAACTAATATCACTTTAACTAACATTGCTTTAACTAACATCACTTTAATTAATTAATGTTGCTTTAACTAATATCGCTTTAACTAACATCACTTTAACTAATGTCACTTTAACTAACATCACTTTAACTAATGTCACTTTAACTAATATCGCTTTAACTAATGTCGCTTTAACTAACATCACTTTAACTAATATCACATTCTAATAATTTACCAATTAAATTCAAAAATTATATGTAACATGCAAATTGATTTGTATAAGAAAATTTTAAAAAATTAAATCAAAAATATCTTGAAATTTGGTTTATAGAACTATCTTTCTAGTATTAATTTAATTAAATTTTTATTATATAAAAATTTTGTTATACTGATCTATAACTATTGATAATATATATATATGATTAATTAGTATATTGCATAGTGCGATATATATATTTAAATAATTAAATTTTTTTAAAAATATATTAGAGTAATTTATAATAAATAGATATAATAGCAAAATAAAAAAAAACTACTTATTGCAAATTTACATATAAGTTTAATTTTTTCTATAGAAACTATTATTAAATTTATATCTTTATTGTATAATATAATTCTTTTTAAAGCTATAACAAAATAATATTTTTTTAAAAAACAAATATATTTATTTTAGGTTTTAATAATCTTTACAATTTAACATATTGGGGTGATTCATAATTACTGTAAAGTCCCGAAAATAAGCAACTCCTGGAAAGTTACTAAAATTAAACAACTCTTCCAAAAAAACTAGTCTTAAGGGTTGCTTATTTTCAGAACTTTATAGTATTTTAATTTTGAAATCAAAAAAAGAAATAAGAGTTATCTAGAGATAAAATGAGCAACTTTTTTTTTTGAAAACTTGTTATCATATGATATTATTATAATAAATTAACAAAGAACTACAAATTATCATTTAAAATATTTTAAAATTCTTAATATTAGTAATATTATATATTTTATTTTCAAATTAATATATCTCCCAATAAAACTTTTAAACAAATAAGAAAAATCATAAAATTTAATAGTTTTTTAGCAAATAATAAGATATTGATTTAATTCAATTGTTTGCAATAGTTCCAACAGTTCATTGATTTTCTTTTAAAATATTAGCTATATTTTTATGAATATATTAGAATATTTTTCTATTAATACTTCTAAAATACTATTTATGTTTTTAATATATAATTGTCGATCGGAAATATAAAATATTTAATATATATATATATATATATATAAATATTAAGTCTCAACAAATATAAAAGTTATTTATAAATAAGCTTACAAATCAAATTAAATAAGATTTATAAACCACTAATTTTGAAATAAATGCATTACTAATTTAATTTGATAAACCTTAATTCTGAATCAAATCATTATTAAAAATTAATATTTAATATTTTGTACTTTATTATACTAAAAATTACTAATAAATTTATTTCAAACTTTTAATAGCTTATATTAAACGAGTGAAAAGTTTTTATACAGATTTCTTTTTTCACTATCTCTGCTAAATACAATTTATATATAATATTGTAATGATTACTATTTTAGTAATTAAGAAAAAAAAGAATTTGTATAAAAACTTTTCAGCCATCTAGTATAGATATTTTTTAAACTTATAAAATTAAATTAATATGAATAAAGAAAATTACAGTACAGTATTAACTACAGTATGCTGCTATAATATTCCTATAAAAAAGACTTGAATATTATTCTAAAGATATATTAGGTAGGTAAAAAGTTGCAATAAAAAACTTTTTTTTTAATTATTATGATTATTGATCCAATACTAGTAATTTTAATTAATATTATATATATATTATATATATAGTATGATAATAGTAGAAACTTTGAGTTTTTAGTTAATAATGAAAAATTAATAATATGTTAATAATAGTTAATAGCTTTGATTATTACTAATAATATAGATATAATGAATTAAATAAACTATCAACAAATTTAATAAAAGTTTAGCCCACCAATATCTTGGCAATTTTTGAAAAAATATTGATGCAACTTTTTATTTCTTATATATTTTCTACTAATTAGCTACGTCATATATTATTAAGTCATTATTAGTTAATAATTAGATTAATCAATTAATAATCATTATTAATAGTTAATAATTTAGGAGGTTTTATATACATATACAGACTATATATGTATATAAAAAAATAATAAAAAATTATATTAGCAGGAATAATAAAAAGGTTCTGTACAGAGACTTTTCATTTACCTGATATATAGAAATTCAAGATCCTCCTTATTATAATACTTTCTCTCTATAAATAGTACCCAAATAGATAATATTCAAGAAATTTGATAGATTATTGAATAGTACCTGGGTACTATATTCACCAATAGCTTGTATACTTTAAACTTATACTCTAAAGTAAAACCAAGTTAGTACAAATAAATAAAATTAAATAATAAATATTCACTACTTCAACAGCTTATATAGATATTTTTTATATGTACCTGTATTATAAAATAAAATTAAACTAATATAAATAAATAAATTAATAAAGTAGTATAATTAAATTCAAGTAAGTTAATTAAGCTCATTTTATATATAAATCTGGGATTATACATACCTTCCATTCTTAAAATTATGTTAAATATTGCGCAACTACTTATTTATACAGAATGTTTCAAAAGCTCTAGAATATAGTTCTTTTTTTTTAAATAATCTTATAGAGATCATGATAATTATAAATAATCTTGATATATAAAATTACTAGACCATATTTTAAAAGTTTTGAAACATCTGGTATAAATATGTGCTATAGAGTAAAAACCTGAAAATAAATATTATGATAAGTTTACTATTGCAACCATGATTAATACTAGTACTAATACTTTAAGAGCTAAAGTTCACCACAATGAAAACTTAAATATTTTTACTCTCTAGCATTCAAATATGTAAAAATATTATTCTTGATAAATCATTAATACTGTTCCTGATAAGATAAAAAAAAAATCAATTTACATATTATTTTTAATGCAAAAATACCAATTTACATACTGTTTCTAATAACTAAACTACTATTGAAATATAAAACTATTGCATAAAAATTTGGCAGTTCACCATTATTGCCTAGCCAGATTATAAGATTAATGTATAATATAAAATTTAAAAAAAAACAGAAATTAGTATACAATTATTTAATAAAGTTTTTCAACCCAAATATTCTTACCAAATTCAAGCAAAATAACACTTATAGACATTATTTTAAAATATGTAATTCAAAGAGAGCTAATATTTAATTTAGCTGAATATACTATAATTTTAATGTTAATAATTCTTAGGGTTTCTCAAAGTTGAATTGAATCAAATATTAGGCATATTTGAATTTGATCGAATCGAATAAGCTCTTAATTCGAATAAATATTTTTAAATCAAATTGAATATTTTGTTAATTTAAATTTGATTTGATTTGAAATTTCTATATTTGAATTTGATTTAAGATTAAATATTTGATCAAATCAAATCAAATCAAATCAAATTGTGAAACCCTAATAATTCTTTTGCTAAATTAATTATTAGCTCTCTTCAAATTATATATCTTGAATAATGCCTATAGAAGTGTTTTATATAGACACAGTACTGTATTATTTTAAGATTAATATTTAAAAAAGTTAAAATCAACATTATGAATTAATCACAGGTTGTGACTTAGCATCCTTATGAGAATCAACTTTGAAATCTTTTAAAAACCCTATTAGAAATAGTATGTAAATCAATTTTTTTTCTATTCTATCAAAAATAGTACTGACAATCTATCAGGAACAGTATTTTTGTCTCAAGTATAATAGTACTGATAAGTAGATAGGTTCACAATTTCTTAATACAGTCAACTCTCCTTATACCGAACCTGTTTATATTGAAATTGGATTATAGTGAACCAGATTTGGCAAAACAGATTTTTCTATAATAATTTAAGCTAGTTATACTGAACTAAAATATTAAATTTCTTTATATCGCATCTGAACTTTTTTTCTCAGCCAGGAACTATGTGTACATATTTCTATATAATGAACTATTATGTAACTTATATATAAAAATCACATGATCAATTTATTAATTTGTTAGCATATATACATACAAACTTTTTACAATAACTAAAATTTAATTAATTGACTTAATTAATAAATTGTTCTAATTTAACTCTAGCAAAAGATTTGTCTATACTAATTTGATAATTCTCACATAATTATTTGATATTAACATAGATGTAGAGAACTGTGATCAACAAAATATGATAATCATGCCCTGGCATCTAGTCAATGTATATAATCGGGAACATACTAAAACTTGCTTAATTCTTTCTCAAAATTCAACAATTGGGTGACTAAGAACATAAGACAATCAAAAACAATACCAGGTTTTAAGAAATAATAGAAAAAGATCTTTAAAAACCAAAATAAAATAGCAAAAAAGCATAAAAGTACAAAATAAAATAAAACTTATCTTTTGTAATCCCCAAAAGTTGAGTTGAAAGTTTTTATTGTGTTGCTTCTTTTTAACACCTTAATACATCTTTTCTATTGTTCTAATTTTTTTAATATTATTTCATACTAAGACTATAGATAGTAGCGAAATTCAAAAAGAAAAGTAAAATAATAATTAATAATCAATACAATTTCTTTTTGAATTTCACCACCTATCTATAGCTAAGAACAGATTAGCCTTATTCTAATAGTGCAAGTTAATAAAAATTTAATATCACTATTATTAATTTGTACCCTGGTTAATGAATGCAGTATTCTATGATTTTGTGAACATAATGTTCACAAAACTATATAACTAACTATTAAAATATGCTATACAGATGTTTCTTAATTTTGGCTAGTATAATAATTATTCACAGCCTAATAATTCTGCTTTTT